ATGCAGGAACTCAACGCAAAAAAAAAAAAAAACAATGAATTACAAAAAAGCCTGCGTCAAGATACCAAAGAACAAAAAGAAAGAATCCTAAACGGTCGCACCATTTAAAATAGCAATATAAGAAAAAAGAAAAAAAGAACAAAACACCACCCAAGATTAAAGTATAAAAGCATATGAGAGGAGTCCTAGTGCAGATGGCCTCATGGAGGGATCTGGGTTGCAGCAAGCGCGTACAAAGAGGGCGACTTCACGGTCCAGTGAGTCGGGCACTTCAGGCTCCAGATAACCGCGTGAGAGGTTCTGCACAAAGAGAGTATCGCGGTGGAGTAGTGTGTGCAGGGCGGCCGCGTCACTTCCCTCCGGGGCGGTGCTGCTCCAGCGCCATGGCAGCCGCCCCAGCAGCATCTCTAGCAGCGAAATGCCGAGCGAAAAGATGTCGGACTGCGGGGTGCAGCGGCCGCCGCGGGCGACCTCCGGGGCCATGTAGAGCGCCGTCCCTCGCAGCGTCATCTCATCAACGGCAGTGCGGGCCATGTCGGCCGCCTCGGAGATGGTCGAGCCAAAGTCCGACAGCTTGCACACACCATCCATCCCAAGCAGCACGTTGTGCGGCTTCACATCACAGTGCACTATCCCAAGCCCATGTAGGTAGTTTAGACCATTTAGAATATCTACAGTAAATCGTCGAGCAACAAGTGGAGTCACTCGTCCAAAGTTTTTTATTACTGTGTGCAAGGAACCACCAGGAACGTACTCCATTATAATAGCAAGGTGTGATTGAACCACACTGCATGAAACATATTGAACAATGTTAGGGTGGCGCAGCTTAGACGCAACATTCATCTCAGCCTCCAGAGACTCTTGCATGATATCACGACGCCGACGTGGGATACACTTGATCGCTACCTGAACGCCATCTTCTGACATACCAAGGAAAACGGTACTAAAAGCACCCTCACTGATCTTTTTCAGTGAACGAATCCACACTTTATGGTTCATATCTGTCAAGGAAATAGGCACATCATCTGCTCCATTACAACCATCGGCAAGAGATTCAATAGATTCAGAAGACTTTGTAGAGAGCTTATACATCTCAAAAAGTGGATCGTCGTTACAACCAGAACCAGCGCCTGACTCTGCGTTATTCTGAAGAAGTGTAGCAGGTGTTCCGCAATGTTTTTGAAGTGTACCAGTATAATCATTCCTGTTAGATGGTGCAGCAGTTTCTGCTGCTAACGCATCTATTGTAGGGATGGTAACATCAAGTATACTATTTTTCAATAGTTCTTTGGAAACAAGAACGTAACTTCTTGAATCATTTTGATAACATCGTTGCTCACATATTTTAATAAGTCTTTGGGCTTGAGGGTCAGAATTTCCTATTCGTTGATAGTGTGTAATTGCCTCCTTATAAGATCCTCTACGCATCGCTGCTAAACCAAGTCGAAAATGTTTTGATGTCCTAATTGTATTTTGAGATGAGGATTGTGGTCTTAACTCTGAAATTACCACAGGAATCGTTGATGATGATAACATCACACAATCAACAGGAAACACCTGGTTCTCCTGTAACTGTGAAGCGGTTCCAGCAGTTGCTGCAATTCGACATCCCAATCTATTTGCAACTTTGGTCAACTCACGTAATCGTGCTAATCCAACTACAACACGAGCGTTTCTCGAATGTGCACCATAAGTCCCCACCAAAAACTCATCTGAATCAACAAGGATTGTAATAGTCTCTTTTTCTTGAGGTGTAAGTCTGTCAAAGAGGGCAAAGGCGAATCGACATCCTTTAATGGAATGCAAAGGAAGTGGTGAATGTGCACCAAAACTTACAAATGTTCCATCAGGTCGCATGTACTCAACGCAGCCATTAAGTTCTGCAGCGCATGCAAGAATATTATGAAAGTATGTATCAAGTGAAGAAGGTTGGGTATCTTCAATAAGTACCATTGTACAGTATCGTCTGACGAATTTATTAGTTCGTTCCTTGAAGATACTACTATTAAGACGCATATCTTGTCGAAATCTAAAAAGTCTATTTTGTTCAATTATTTCAGTCTCACGTGTTACACCTGATTGGGATTTTGCCGATTGTACATGAGTTTTCTTTGGAGATTCACGCCGTCTTTTATGTGACACACGATCACTGATGCCAGTTGGTGCAGCAAGAATAGCCTCTGGGACGAATGATTTAACCATACGAAGTTGTCGGGTAAGTTCTGCATAACCATCTTGAACCTCTTGCACCTCGGCAATACGTGACTTTACCAAGACACTACCATCATTACCAGTGTAACCCCCCTCATCATCATCATCACCGCGAAGTTGGAGGTTTGAGGCTCTTTCAAGTGCAGGCACAAGTCTTCGTAATGGTTTTATCGTGAAATATGCAATCACCGCGGCAAAGAGAGCTACCAATAAAACTGAAAGAGCTGTAATAGTGGCAACAATTGTACGTGCCAAAAAGACTTCACGGAAAAAGTCACCTTGAAGAGTAGTGATACATAGTAAAAGATCAAGGCCAAGGACATCGACAAATCGCACAACTATAGTGTGTGCAGAATCGCCTTGGTAGGAAAAACGAAATTCTTTTCTTCTACGATTTTTCATAAATTCTGTAAAACCACCTCTAGACCGTACTTTGTTGAGTGTCATCATCATTAAAGAATCGTTAACATCGTTTATTTTGAGTGGAGTTACAACATTCTTGCCATTAATGTTCTCTCGGGTTATAGAAGGTTGCATCCAATTATTGGACACAACAATATCCTTTATAGGATCAATTACCATGGCACGTCCATTCTCGCGCAGTGCCCTCCAGAGCAGTCTCACTGTACCCTTGTCAAAGGCTGCTGTTAGCATAGCAACTTCCCAAAATCCCAAGTGATTCTCTGCTCCGAAGGGCACAACATAATCAAAATACATGGATGAAAAGTTAATTCCCTCACTAAACCAACGTTTTCTCCAAGGAACGCCATGAGATCTACTCTCATTCCATGGTAATACAATAGACATATAAGGACCATCACTCCTAGTTAGAGTTGAATATAAACTCATGTTGTATGATGCAAGAGTTTGCAAAGGAACACTATAGTCTACTGTCACTGGGTTAATTTGATAAATAGGTGCTGGTCTCATTCCGTCTAATACAGCACCACCAATTGTACCCTCTCCAAAGTATGCAGCTACGAGTACACCCCACTCCTTATTAGGTGGTTCGGCCGATACAACCAAAAAATAGCTAATAATATCACGGTATATCTCTTTCGACAAAATATTTGCCAAGGCAAACAAGAGTTTTGTCTTATTTTCTGGGAAGAAGGTGTTGTTGTTCCATTCAGCAATAATATAATTTGATGACACACAGTTGATAAGATTTGGTAATTGCAAAAGAGAATTATTGGTTGTAGTTAACAATCCGTTGATTGCTTGAGTCCGAATCAAGCGCGTTGCACGACCTGCAGCATGAAAACCAACAAAATACATGGGAAGAAAACCAATTAATCCAACTATTAATACACCAAAACTCATCACCACAGCAATAAGGACCATTGTACTGATACGGCACCCGTTTTTCTTCGTGCGTTGAGAAGCAACCACATCTTCTTCACTCTCTAACACAGGATGTTCTACCGCCTCAACTACATTGTGGAACATGAAAACCCTCTAATTATTTACTAAAGAATATTTAAATAAGAAGTACTTTAGCTAGCTAATTTTACTTTTTTTAAATGATATCGGTTAACAATAATTCAAAGAGAATATACATTTATAGAGAAAGAGAGAGAGAGAGAGAGAGAACAAATAGTAATATATCAGGCAAAATTCAGCAAAACAAAAAGGAATACAAAATAAAAAAGAAAATTCCATGAAAACTGTACATAGGGAATGAAGAAAAAAAAAAAAAAATGGAAGCAACACGTTTCACGCCGTAAAACCATCATACAATTTGAATTCTTTTTTTGCAAATTATATCATCTACTTGAACCATTTTATTTTTTTCTTCACATCACCATCATTTTAACCAAGAGCAACACAACCACGATAGAATCCGAGTACCATCACAAATCGACCCACCAGTACAACTTAGTGTTTTTTTTTTTTCTTCTTAAGCGCGTCATGAAAAGAAAAAAAAAAGAAGATTCAAACAAAAGAAAGCTTCTGGTTCAAATAATACATTGAAAAAGCAGGATATACTACATCTGTGTCACTTACATTTGGTATATGACCAATGGCCTTCCTTTTCCCGCTCACAACATACAATGTCCGATTGATGGCATCCCAATCAAACTCCAGAACACATCCAGTAGAAAATGGCATCTTGTCACATTTCCACGATCCATATGAATCTCCAGCTCGTGAGATACACCATCCACCAAGTTCTGATATATACTTGTTCCCCATGGATGCTTCCTGTTGTGGACTTAATCGCGGAAGCAGTCCCATCATGAGTCCAGATCCGTCACTACCCTCACCTTGATCAACAACCTTCATCGCCCATTGTCGTTGATTCCCAGATAAAGGCGTCTTGGAACGTAGTGTTACCCACCCACCATTCGTCTCCCTGTATGCCACGGAACTATCAATCACAACACCGGGATGAGGAGTAGAACTATCTATCTCCATAATCTCCAGACCCATTGTTATGACCAGCAGAATTTGGTCACTACAAAAGAAAAAGTAGTATGACAGAACAGAAACCACAGCAGTGAAAAAAAGAGGGGTTCACAAAACCATGATTTAATATCAGACTTCCAAAAAAAAAAAAAAATAATAATAATAATAATAATAATAAATAAAAAATACATTAGTGAAAAAGAAAGCAACAAAGCGACAACACATTAGCCCTTGTGTATGTTTATTTCTTCATCTCATTCTTATTGCGGTTGTTGTTGTTGTTGTTGTTGTTGTTGTAAATCAGAACAATTTAATCTCACCACCCACTCAAGCAACCAGAAGTGCCAACCTATCAAAAATTAGCACCTCAATACCAAAACGAGATACCGATATCAACGGCGCATCAGTTGTGTGTCCAAGCGACCATCCACCATTTTGACGGGCCAATATGTTATTATACCGTGATTTGGGTTGATGATGACTCGCCTTCACATTTTCTCCGTGATTCTGATGTATTGCCGTAAGAGTAAGAGTGGACTCAACTACTACTGCCTGTCCCGCGCGGGCGAGTAAAACAGCTCTTGTTGTTACCCAGTTATCGAAAGCAGTCCCACCTACAACAAAGTCAGGTATTTGTGTCCAATCAAACATGTTATGGCTCATCGCAAAATAATCTTCTGAAAGACTTTGAAAAGGTACTCCAATTGTCCGAAAATTCACTTCCACATCCTTTTCCCAATCGCTTCTCAAAGTCCAATTCACGGGAATATCCACGTTTGTGCGACGCCCAATAGCAAACCAACCTTTAAGAGCAGGATTACGTTGTGCCATTATACGATGATAGTGATGTATTGCATTAATGGAATCTACTGTAGATTGTGAGAAAAGAATATCCATGTTGGAATACATAATAGCCTGCGCATCTGGATATGCCAAACCCACACGCAAAAATAGACCCCGGTATGTTGGTTGTCTAAATTTTTCCTGAATCTCAAAATCCTTTATAATATCTATTTGTTGTCCAACACCTCTTTTCTTATTTTCCAAATTAATTTCTTCAATAAGTTTATGATTTAATGGATCTTCAGATAGAACTACAGGACGAACACCCTCAATAAGTGCCCAATTAAAAAGTGTGCGATTCGCAATCCGCAAAGGGTCATGTGCATTTCCTTCATCCGGTACAAGTGACTTCAGCGGTTTCAAGGTACCAAAGATAATAATTTCCTTCTTTAAATTGTTCCTATGTGTGTCTGCTAATCCCCAGCAAAGGCGAGCAACGGTATCCCAAACTTCACCAGTACTAGGAGAACGACACATCTGATTAGGCTCAACAAACATCTCCCATTCGGTCGCATCACGTAATTCTTTTACATCACACTTTAGATGATCACCAAAGATACGTATAAAACAATGCATAGAGGGAGACCACAAAACCGCAAAACCAGTTTTAGGTGGAAACACAAATTTCCACATCTCCGCGCTTCTCGCCTGTGTGCGGTCCATTCCTACAAATTTGCCAGAATGTACCGATAAAAATAACGTGCTCCATCCCTGAATTGCAAAGGTCCCATTTTTTCGTCCACGAAGAATAGCCAAGGTTTTCTCTGGCACAATGCCATAGACACCGCCTGAGGAGTGACCCAACCAACGTCCATCACCTACTGAACGAAGTCGATAGAAGCTGTCAAGAAGTATTTCATCTAATGATAAGACACGTTTCCATGCGCTTGTATCTTCTAATGGTGATGTACTCAATACATCAGTCTCAGTAGCATGAAGGTGTGGAAGAGCCCCGTTCTTCACTCCCTCAACATCACGAAAACTAAGGGATATGTGGAATACAGCATACATGAGAGTTATAACTGCATATAGAAATCCAATAAGAAGCATCAACCTCCTCCTTCGCCACCGTAAAAAGTACATGGAGGAATAAAGCCTTCAGAAAATGAAATGGAAGCAAGAGAAAATTCCAATGCCTTTAAATATATAACAACATTTCTTCCACTCCACATGTATTTATCATAGATTATCCTTCTTTTTTTTTTATTTCGTTTTTTTTTTTTTTATTCTATATATCCTCCATTTATTTTTCTCAGATTCTAAAAAAAAACAAGAAAAATATCTTGAAGGATAGGCAAAGAAATACGAACCAAATACCTCAAACATTCAAATACAAGAATGTACGAACACCTTCAAGAATATATGAAAAAACACGCCACATATTCTCCTCCATATAGAGCACCCATTTTTTTTTTTTTTTGCTTTCCTTTTCGCTCTTTTCTTTTCTTCTTCTTCTTCAATGTCAAGTGAAAACCACTTTGGAAATGCTGTGTCACCATATCATTTACGTAGAAAGCGGTGGTGTCTGGAGTTGGGTAGAACCCTTGATGCACTGTCGCAAAAAGACCTCATAGCCTTGATTCTTTGGATGTGTCACGAGGTTTAGTAATGTCTGGACAAGTAGAGGATTCGATTGAATCTGCTGTACGACATCAACCTCGTTCATAAGAACGATATTGATAGCTATAACACCTTCTTCCCAAATGTTATACAATCTACGGAGATCAAGAAGGGTATCCACTATGCCAGGGGTGGAATAGACATGACCTTGGGCTGTGGTCCAGAGAGCCGGATCTGCATATGTTATTTCCATCTCCGAAGGAGATGGTAAGTGCTGCCGAAGATCACTTCCAATACACCTCATACTTCTAGGAAGACCCAGTTCATCATGAATACCATCAAATATATTGGGGAGGAGCACATCAACTGTATTTTTCTCTATATTATTATTATTATTATTATTATTATTATTATTATTATTATTATTATTATTATTATCTCCATTAATTTTCTCCTCATTCCCGTTATTTGATATTCCCATACCTAGTGACCTCATTAAATCTGTAGACGTTTTAATCTTGATAAAATGCGGTAACGATAGAGAAAATTCCTGCAGAATATCGCGTAATACTATTAAATGTCCTGACATTAGCGATTTTGTGGCTACATCATCAACAGCTTGTTTCACATCTGGATAATTTATTAAAAGGAATTCAATGGCACAACGTCGTCGTACTGAATCGGGAATAATACCCCCAGAAGGCAATTCTTCAGCTGAAATAATATAAAGTGGATCTGTTTCAGAAAGAGGCATATTTGATGAATTTTGCTGAAAACCAACAGCATTCAAAAACTTCGACCAAACACCAACACCCTCATCTTTACTATCCCCTATTACTGGTATAACTAATTCTGCATGTAGTAAAGATGCGAAGCGTAGTAAATCGTGAATTAAATTAATATTTCGCTGCCATAAAGCAAATACCAATAATTTCGCAGCAGATGTCATAGCGCTTTCCAAAGATTCCATTGGGGTGCTAGTAGTATCGCAAAGAGTTCCATGCATCATTATGACACGCAAAAGGTGAGCTGCTTCTTCAAATCGTTGATTCTCTAAGCATTCACGAAAAAGCTCGAGAGGAGATCCCAAAACATCAAGAACAACTTGCCAGCGAGAGACATCTACCTTTCGTACACAGTTTACAACAATACTATGAAATTCAGAGTATCGTCTTAGAAGCGAAACTGTCGCTTGAACAGCAGATCTTCTATCAAGTTGGTCAATACCAGCTGGTGGAGTTTCATCAATAAGAGTATATAAGTAGTAATCTGCGTTTGGTACAAAAGTATTGTTCGACCTCATACGTTCTAGCCAATAAAAAAGACGATCACTCCAAGCAAGAGGAATAAAAGGAGTTCCAGTTGTCGGTACTTTTTTCCCATTAACTGTTTCTACACTTAATGATTCAAAACGTGTTAAGACTGCTAAAACACGGTAATTGTATAAAATAGGTTTTACCGTCATACGCATAGAAATAATAGGCGGTATTCCAGAAATAGAGCAAAAAACATCGCTCGTACTTGAGGCGGTTAAAAGACAACCATCAAAAGTAGATATACCTATAGGGAGTGAATCAGCGTCAAATTGGCCTATTCGATATTCATCTAATAAAATAAAAGGAGGCAAACCGTCATTTGTACCACGCAAATGAAGAAAACTAATTCCATTATCTCCAAAAACAAGAATTACACCTCCATCTATTGGTACAGAATTATCTATCCAAATTTTATATACACCACTAGAACGAAGTGTTGTAATTGGGAATGGCATCCCAGATTTATCATCTTCTGTATGAAATTCCAAAGACTCACCCTCAGTTACTAGCATCATACTTAGACAAAGTGATACTAATGCATGTGAACCACGTAATACAAACAAAACGAGAGGCAAGGTGTACTCAACTCCATTATGTGATGAAGATAGTGGAGTACGAGGTACTCTCTGATGGCGCAAATGAATAGGATGAATTGCCGTCATTTCAATAGGATTAAGAAAACAATTTGATAATTTAATACGTTTCAATAACTCCAATGATACATCAATGGTAAAATTAGTTGAAGATTTACCTGATGAGATAATGCATCTCCATATTAAGAGTGTATTAGAAGAGTCTAAGACAAGAAGAAAAATATCAGGACCCTCATCATGGCATTCACAGATTTGTAACGGCATCCTTTCTAAAGGTAGATGTACCAAAAGGGCTTTTGTATCCAAATAACGATGAGCATAAATACGAAGAGCATAACTGCGTGTGTAAACCATTCGGACAGGAAGAACTACAGCTAAACTGTGAAGCCACAAAGGTTGAGCCACACATACCATCTCTCTCTCTTGTTTCTTATCACGAAGGGTATGCCATCGTCTCATAATACGGTCAAAAATCACAAAACCTTTTTTTCCTGCAAGTACTATAGCCGCTCCATCAGGGCTTACAGCACCAAAGATAAGAGGATAATTCTCAATTGCATATTGTGAGTGAATATTAACTACATCATTAAATGTTACACCATCTTCAGAAGGTGAATGCCCACAAAAACGCACTATTTCATTATTAAATGATATAATAGGTGTAAAATAACCTTTTAAATCACCAACAGGACTTGAAATAATCTCACTAAATTCAAATGATCTAAAGGAAGTTTGTTGTGGTTCAATTAAAAATAATTGATGATTGTGATTATTCCATGAAAGAGAAATACACCCTTCTACAACACAACGTTGTGAATGAGAGGCAAGTACAGACGAGTATACGCATACACTACTGTAATGAACTACTACTACACCACCGTGATAAAATCCAACACAGAGAAGCTCTTCATTAGGACTCCACTGAAGATCACCAATTGGTCCAAGTCGTCCAACGTCTTTTAAACATTTTAGACCATTCCAAAAAGGTTTTAAAGAGAGGTCTTCATTAATAGATTTGCAAACAACATCACCAGCATGTGTGGTCATTACGATAAGTGAATGTTTGGAATTAATTGCTACACGAGCAGCAGAAGCAGCTATACTACACTTACCAGAGAATATTATTTCATCATTTGTGAAATCACTTCCCACATTATTACGGGCAAGAATGACATTTCCATTTGATAGCAAAAAGGTCGTCAATTTAAGTTGAAGAGAGTAGTATACATCCACTATAGTTCCTGTAAGAATTTCGCCACGTGCCACACGCGAGTTTGATTCCATGTTATCTTTCCCTGTTTCATCTGAACGAGTAAAGAAATGTGTCTCTTTACTTAAAAAATGACAAGTCCATGTGTGTAAAAGTTTCTGTCGAAACCAGCCAAGTACACATACAACTCCAGATGTTGTACATGCAAAGAAACAGTTCGAGCCTCCGGCAGTTAATGATGTTATGATACCAGTCTCTAAACGTTCCTCGTTGGTTAAATGTACGCGAGACGCAAAAGAACCCACGTGAAGAAAATGTTCACGGTAACCAGGCGTAAGAACTTCTGCATTTTTCACATCAATACTAATTTCAAAGAAAAGAATGCGTCTTTGTAGAGTAGCAACAACCAAATTCTCTCCTTTAGGGTGCCAAAGAAGATGCGTCGCTGGATTTTCATCAAGAGTGGTGCCATTAATAATCACTGATCCCAAATAAATAGCATTGTGGGTAGATGTCCAGAAGTGTAACTGTCTCTGGGAAAGCAATACAATACAATTCCCAATTGGACTCGCTGACACCACCACTGCACGCTCATCACATTCATATTTATGCGAATTCAGAGAGTAAAGTTCTGGTGACCCACTGGGAAAGTGCATTTCATATGAAACTTAGACAAGCCTATGGAGTAAAAGAGAAGTCATGTAATAAAGAAACAGTAAATATGCCAAATATTTAACAACAACAACAACAACAAAATAATAATAATAATAATAATAATAATAATAATAATAATAATAATAATAATAATAATAATAATAATAATAATAATTTTTTTTTTAGCACAAGAACCCAAAAAGATTTTAAGAAAAGTAAATTTTTAGAATAGATGAATAGAGCAGTACGTATATCTTTTAGAGTCATTATGCATCAATCTGTCGTCATAACAGAAGGAGTGGCGTCCAAGCTACCAGTTCCACCACTAGAGTGCGTAACGGAAGGGCGAGAAGAATCTTGTTCACGCATTCTTTTTCGTCGTGCTGTAATCATATTATCAATTTTTGCCATCCCTGTGTTTTTTCGCATCACAGCCAAGGCATCTATCATGACATTGATGATACCGTCACGGCGGTCCACTGAGGTACAGGTAAAACCCGCACTATACGCCTCTAATTGACCAGCACCATCAGCAGCAATATATACAAGTGCCTCCGCTACTTCATCAGGTGAGGCCTTCGTGCAAAGTGGTGTCACAAATGAGAGGAGGAATAGACGGTGAGCACATTCCGAAACCTTTGTGTGACCTTCCGGTACTAACTCAAGAATACGCTTAATTGGGTGAATTACTTGAAAATTAAAACCCAACGTATGACATAACAATAACTCCATCTCTAGCAACATACGACGCCATCCCTCTGCTTCTTCACTTTTTTCATCAACTTCAAACACAAGTGAAATAACCTGATTAAGACGCACCTTGTAATGTTCTACTTTACTTGCCAAAAATACACATGACGCTGATAGAACAATTTCGTCAAACTTTTTTAATTCATGATGACTCAGAAAAGTATGCCAATAAACCATAGAGGTTGCAACAACAGTCTCATCAAGTTTAAGACTTTCTACTACATATCGTGTCATATTGTACGCCTTGGCAGCAATGCGATAATACGCTTTTCCAACATGTAACAAAGAATTTGGACTACTCACTACTACAGTCGTTGGTGAACTGCAAAGAGGTGATGACCACAACGGTGGTCCCCCAGCTTCCATCGTTCTCTTTATTTTATTTTCCTAATGTTGTCCACAAACACAACATAGGAAAATAAGATAAAGAGACACCACAAAAAAAGAAAAATATGAAAAAAAGAAAAAACAATGTATGATCATATCCCAGAATAAATTGGGTATATGCCCACCGGAAAAAAAAAGCGCAGAAGCACACAATCAAACATATATATACATATATATATATATATTTTTTGTAAGAAATTATAAACAAACAAAACAAAAAAAAACAGTTATTTCCTGTTCGTTATTGCAAGAACAAGCACTACTTTGAGTGGCTCTTCTTAAAGTTATGGGCGGCCATGAGCAGCTTCGCGCTTTCCGCACGGGCCTTCTCCTTCTCCAGAGAGCGAGTTGAGAGAGAGACGCGCAGCTTCTTGCCGCGGAACTCCGTACCGTTCCTCTCCTTCACCACCTTCTGTGCGGCAGCAGGGGAGTCAAGGTAGACGTACGCGTAGTTATTGCGGTACGTGCGCAGGCGCAGCACCTTCATGCCAGTAAAGAGCTCACGGATCTGCTTATCCGTGGTAGATGTGCGGAAGATAGGAGAGAGAAACACCACAGAAGAGTTCTCGTGTGGGTCCGGCTTTGGGCTTGTCTTGGCAGGCACAACAGTCACCACGTTCCCCATCACCACCTTCTCGTTGAAGAGGTCAATAGCCTTCTTCACGGCGGCAGCGTTCTCAAAGAAAACGATGGCGTAGCGGCGACGGCGCACCTGTGCACTCACGACATTACCAGCAGCGCTGAAGATCTCCTTGGCGTCACTCACAGATCCCTGACCCCAGTTCTTCACGTAGACACCGTTGTGTCCACCAGCCGCAACGCGTGGCTTTGTCTCCTTTGCGGGGGCCTTGGGCGCGGCAGCGGCGGCCTTAGGGGCAGCAGCAGCGGCCGGCTTGGGTGCAGCCTTCGCGGCGCTCTTCTTCTCGGTCTTTGGCGCAGGGGCCTTTGCAGCAGCCTTAGCGGGCATCCTTAAGTCTTTCTCTCTTTTTTTTTTCTTTCTTACTCGAAGTTCGAGGTAGAAGTGCTGTTTAGTTGCTGTTTAATTACATGAAAAAGAGCAAAAAAAAAAAAAAGCAAAAATGCAGTATGTTACTCGTGGAAATTTTAATATATTATATTTACCGTTAAAGAACATTAGCTAAAGTTGAGAAAAAGAAAAATAGAGACCAAGGCACTAGCAGAGAATCTCTCTGCGGCACGCTGCCACAACCACAACATACAACTTCTCTTCCCCGCCAGGAACCTGTACAACTTGCGGCCAAACAAAGACCCTGAGGTTCGGCACCAGACCTACAGAGCGCAGTTCCTCTCGCCCTCTGTCAACAACATGTGCCTCAAAATGAGGAGGAAACAACGCCACAGGACCACGAAAGCATTCAAAAGGAAAAGATCGTCCCGTAATACCAACGAGTTTCACACAACATTCTCGCAGACCCCAATGCTGGGCCAATATCAAAGCAACGGGATCAACTAATTTCCCATACGTTTCCTGGATATTTAAAATGTCAGCCGAACTCATTGCAGTAGGTTTGCAATTGGGCATCCATCTAGCGCCAAATTGTGGAAACCGCTTTGTAACACGATCCACTTCTCCCACATCCACAACGTCAATACTCAGAGAAAATGGTGCATCAATTGGCCACGTCACCGCAGCACCTACTAGATCTTCGTGAGCTAGTGAAAGCATAAGACCATAATGTCTCGCATCATCTCGACTACCAACAAAATCAATGGGAAACCGCAACGCAGATGAAAGTGCTGCAGAAGCCGCCAAACGTGAGAGAATGTAGGGATTCCGGTGGTTTGGATGCAACTGATCAGCTCGACGTCTCAGCTCCAAAGATACGCGGTCATTCACCACAGGAAAAATGGCCAAGAAGGCCTCCATCATGGAAGCATCAGCCGCCATAACCTGCAGCCTCCGAAGACTCATGTGGGGCCACGCATAAATAAAAAATAAAAAAAAACCCAACTACAAAGAGCACAACAAAAGATACACGCAGCCTACTAGTAGAAAAAATAAAGAAAAAAAAAACAATAATTACACAAAAAGAAATACTTCATAAAGAAGTACTCGTTAAACATTATAATCACAGCACTCTATCCCATTTTACCTATAAAGAAATGTTTAAACACACAAAAAAAAGAAAACAAATTAAAAAGCAATCCTTCCTCTTCTACTTTGAGTGGCTCTTCTTAAAGTTATGGGCGGCCATGAGCAGCTTCGCGCTTTCCGCACGGGCCTTCTCCTTCTCCAGAGAGCGAGTTGAGAGAGAGACGCGCAGCTTCTTGCCGCGGAACTCCGTACCGTTCCTCTCCTTCACCACCTTCTGTGCGGCAGCAGGGGAGTCAAGGTAGACGTACGCGTAGTTATTGCGGTACGTGCGCAGGCGCAGCACCTTCATGCCAGTAAAGAGCTCACGGATCTGCTTATCCGTGGTAGATGTGCGGAAGATAGGAGAGAGAAACACCACAGAAGAGTTCTCGTGTGGGTCCGGCTTTGGGCTTGTCTTGGCAGGCACAACAGTCACCACGTTCCCCATCACCACCTTCTCGTTGAAGAGGTCAATAGCCTTCTTCACGGCGGCAGCGTTCTCAAAGAAAACGATGGCGTAGCGGCGACGGCGCACCTGTGCACTCACGACATTACCAGCAGCGCTGAAGATCTCCTTGGCGTCACTCACAGATCCCTGACCCCAGTTCTTCACGTAGACACCGTTGTGTCCACCAGCCGCAACGCGTGGCTTTGTCTCCTTTGCGGGGGCCTTGGGCGCGGCAGCGGCGGCCTTAGGGGCAGCAGCAGCGGCCGGCTTGGGTGCAGCCTTCGCGGCGCTCTTCTTCTCGGTCTTTGGCGCAGGGGCCTTTGCAGCAGCCTTAGCGGGCATCCTTAAGTCTTTCTCTCTTTTTTTTTCTTTCTTACTCGAAGTTCGAGGTAGAAGTGCCTGTGTATTTTAATAGGGGGGGGGGTGAATAAGAGACAAAAAAGAAAAATCATACCAAAGAGGACAAATTAATGATGGTCAGTTTCTTTTTTTTTTTTGTGTGTGATACCAGAAATGTCCACAAAAACACAAACAGGAAAGAAAAAAAAAGAGAAATACCAAATCACGACATGAGAAAAAAAGAGAAAAGATTTTAATAGTTACTTCCCTATGGACAATAATGCTATTTTCGTGCTTTTTCATGGTTCTCAAGGAACCAATCAACAGAACGTTTTATGCCTTCATTCATTGGTGTAAACTTAAAGTTAGGTAGGTACCGTCGAAGTTTGCTGTTGTCGGCCGTTTTTTTAAATTGACCGTCTGCCTTGGAAGTGTCAAATACAATCTCTCCTTTGAAGTCCATCGCTTCAGCAATCATCTTGACCACATCCGCGATAGATACTTCATCGCTTTCACCAACAGAAAGAATAATGGGTTCGACTTCAGTGTACTCACGAAGTACCCATATCATCAACTCCGCCAGATCTTCGCTATATATAAACTGACGAAGTGGTTTGCCTGTACCCATCACTGTCATTGATTTGCCACTCTGTTTTGCCAAATAGAATTTATGAATAAGACCAGGCACGACATGAGAATCTTCCAAGTTATAATTATCATAGGGACCATATATATTTGTAGGAATAACACAAGTAAAATTACACCCATATTCATTACGGTAAGCACGGTTCATAACATCCATCATACGTTTTGCGTATGCATATGCCTCATTTGAGGAGTGTGGAGGCCCATCATGTAGCATGGTCTCATTGATAGGGTAAGTAGTCTTGTCTGGAAATATACAAGTGGATAGACAAGAAACGAGTTTACTTACACCGTAGATGCGACAGCATTCAAAAACATTGTTATTTATAGCCACATTGTCAAGCCACATTTCAACAGGATGTTTCATATTTTTAAATAGACCACCAACCTTGGCGGCCAAATGAATGACGTGTGTAGGCTTATATTTCTCAAAGGCGGCTTTGGTCGCTTCCATTGATCTTAAATCTGCTTCTTTACTGGAAAGAAATACCCATTGTTCATCCGCACGTGGATTGCGTTTTTGTACGGTTTCGATAGCCTTTCCGACCAGACCACTTCCTCCAGTAACAAGAACAACACTCTTAGACATTGTTTGTTTGTTTTTTCAAAGAGCTTCTTTTTACACGAAGATGTTTTCTAAAACAAAGAAAAAAGAGAGAAAGAGAAAGAGAAAGAGAGAGAGAGAGAGAGAGAGAGAGAGAGAGAGAGAGAGAGTGTGTGTGTGTGTGTGTGAATTGAAGCAAGAAGAACAGAGGGGGAAAGAGAGTGAAAGATGCATATGGAGGATTCAAAAACAAATAAGTTATACAACCCTCATTTAAAAATTAGGTGGGATAAAAAAGCACTCTAGTTCATACACACGCACACAGAGAGAGAGAGAGAGAGAGACCCAGAAAAAAAAAAAAAAAAAAAAAAAAAAAACGAGACGCCTACCGGCCTGTTCTTCTCTTTTACATACTCAACCAGAATCTTGAACTATTCATTGCTTTGCACGACAATCCCACTGGGCAAACTTTTCCCACATAATCTCCCTCGACTTCATTGAAGATTCTTTTTCTTCACGTAGACGTGATGCGACAGCGGCTACGGCGCGTTCCATCTTCAATGCAGTTTGGTTGAAACGTGGGTCCTCGCTGAAGGGATCCAGCACGCGCCTTATCTCCTCCTCCATTTCCCGCAATACATCCTCATCGGAGAGCAACGGCCCACACATGGTTGACCCACCGTTCTCCTTGTTTTCTTCATTTTCATTCTCACTTTCCTCTATTTCATTCATATTCTCAATTTCAATCTCACGCTGCGCCGCTGCCACTACTAATTCGTGTTCGTGGGCAACGTGGAACACTCCTTCAATTTCACACCACGCAGTTGACTCGCTGGCGCAAACAACGTCCCGCATACGCTCCTCTGTAGAAATTAGTTCTTCCTGTTGGACACGCCATTCACGTCGTAATTCCCGCAGTCGTTCCATCTCTGCAGCACGCCTCAATTCCCATTCTTTTGTCAATCGATCGCGAACCTCACGGTTTTCATCCATACGATCTGTCAAAACTTTAACACAGCTCTCTAAATGTTCCTTTTTCTCCCTTCTTATCGCTTCTCTCTCTTGAGCCTCAGCTTTTTCACCCCCTTCGCCCCACGCTTCTACAACACGGCGCTCTTCTGTAAAGACGGGACGTTCATCCAAGTAAGTTAGCTGAGGAAGTTGGAGAATCATGTTGCGTCTGTATCCCTTAATTCCACGAATAGCGGGGTTACCATGAAAATAGATGACACTCACTTTTGGTAACCGCGTAAAGAACTCTACTGGGCCAACATGGTCCTCATCTATCTCTATCTTATTAAAGGAAAGATCTACACTTGTTAATGTCTCACTAATACCCCATAAATCGCTGCAAGCATCTAAGCTACCAATGTGATTATGTGATACCTGAAGAGTCTCTAAAAGGGGGCATGCATTTGCAATACCCTCAAGTGAAGTCAAGTAGTTGTGAGATAAATTAATTACACGTAGATTACCCAAAACGGCGAGGGAAGAAATTGATGTAATAGTATTATTCTGAACAAAAAGTGAGACAAGCTGTTGTAATGCCTCTAATCCAGTAAGCTCAGATATAGCATTTTGCTCCAGCCAGAGAACTTTTAAGTTTACATAATCATCTAAGTTTTCAATGCGTAGAAATCCTCGACATTGAAGGAATAATTGGTCATTGAGGCGCGGTGCCGCATATCCACCATTGCCTTTGCAGGCGGCAACCAATACCTCTCTCGTCATTTCCGCCATGACCAGAAATATATTTTTTTTTTCTTTTGGGGATTTCTTTTTTTTTTTTTTTT